TTATCACAGTATGCTATAAAATAATCAGAATAGTTCAGGTTTATATAGTGTCCTTCATTCCAAGGGACCTCAAAGTCCTTCCCGAACTGTATTGGTCTAACCATTACCAACTCCCTGGTTTTAACTAGGAATATAGTAACCTCAGCATCAGCAGTACTCATTTTTATTTATGTATTGTTACTACAGATAACACCAGTGTGATAAAATATTAATTTTTAAATCACCTCATCCAACATAAAGATTCAGGAGTGAAACAGTTTCAATGTTCTTGCTCCATTTTCTGTGACACCTCACTCCCTAGGGTCACCATGCTGCCTTCAGCTCTTCTCCTCTCTGTCTCTTCCTCTCCCATTTTTCTAATTTGTCTCTCTCCTCTTTCTTCTTTGGATAGTTTTATTACAATATCTCAGTAACTGAGGCCCAAACCACAAAACGCTGATCTATTCATCTCATTTTTTCATTCTCTCTCCCTCCCTATTTGCACTTGCCCTCAGTTTGGATAGCTCTTCGACAGTCATAGTCAACTGTTCATCCAAGCATGGCAGCCTTTACAGCTATTTCTTGATGCCATGGTTCCCTAAAAGGGCTACATGTCAGAAGCAGGCACTGGAGCAGGGCTGTGTGTGTTGCTAGCAGCTATGCAACCTGATTTTTAAATTTCCTCAAGGCATTAAGCTCTCTCAGTGTCTCAAATGAACTAGTCCATGTTTCTGTTTCATGAACTGTTGGCATTTCCAAGCTATTAACAGGCCTTTTTGGTCTAATTATGTTAAATGACTGGCTCCACAATTTGTAAGTGCTCTATTTACATATTAAAATAATGAATGTGTGACTGACATATTAATATTGATACCAGTTCCCTCTTAGGGAAATAAATTTAATTTATTTAATTTAGGGAATAAATTTAAGGTATCCAGCTATCCTATTATGCAAAAAAGGCACCTTCTGGGTATTTCTTCCAGTAGAATTAGCCCATTGCAGTATAGGCAGATTCAGGCCCATGGGTTTTGAATTGGTTTTGAATCAATCCATGAGTATGTATCCTGTGTTGATTGCTTCAGCAGGTAATGCTTCAACTACATGTTTTGCAAATTACACATTCTTGAGGAAAATGAAAAGGATACTGAACATCTGTTCACTGTATCAAACTGTTGGAAGCAGAAGAGGTGCCTGCTGTGTGTATCTTTCAATGTGACTAGTTCATTAAGGGACGAGTAGGAATTGAATCCTTTAGATTTGGAATCCAGCATGTCAGGAGAGCCTGTTCATGGGGGTCCAGCTGTAAATTTTCATTGTGGACAAGAAAGTTTTACCTGTGGTAGTCAGGCATCAGAGAATGAAGACTCCCAAAGGTTTTGTGAAGAATTTGAGGAAATTTAGCTAAAGCAAAAAGCTTACAGAACAGATACTTTTCAGGTTATATTTTGCTGCCTGAGGCTGAAAAAGGGATTTGGGGGAGGGGTGTTGCCTTTGAATCCTTATGCAAGAAAATGTATCACATGTACAGCCCACATGGACATGTGGGTATTAAACAAAAAAGAATCCAAACCAGTATACATGAGGTGTACGAGCAAACCATTAGGTTTCTTCAGATCCTAAACCATGGAGTCCTGGGTCTGGGTAATGAATAAGCCAACTTCACAAAACATCTGGCAGGCAGGTAACTGAGAAGATCAACATGGAAAAGATGGTGCCAAAGAAAAACCTGGAATCAAACACAGATACTACCTACCCCAGTATGGCAGATTCCCCCCAGTACCAAAGCCTGTAGTAAAACCTCTACAAATTAATTGTGCCACTAAGACATACAGATCCATACAGAGCCAAGACGTCCAGATGCAATGAGTTCAGTGTTCCACACATATGAACAGACTACCTAAAGCCTCAAGGGTAAAACTAACAAGCCACAAGGACTGGAGATGATGAGCAGCCTAGGGCATGGAGGAAAGCTTTGCCATCACCAACTTTGGTAACACACACCCCTCTTTATTCACACCTATGGCCAAAGGCAAGTTTCTGGAAAAACTGGGAGTGTCAATGGGAAAAGATATCTTCTGTTACCCAGGCAAAGACTGATACTGAGAGCTCTTTACACCTCACCACCACCTACCCAATCTCTTTGTGATTGCTTCCAACTTGTCAATACTGTTAGCTAATGGCTATCAGTCATCTCATGATACCTTTCCCTCTGAATGTCAGTGCTCATTCAGCTAGGGCATAAGTAGTATCTTTAGTTTGCTTCAAGAACATGCCATTATCTGAATCTTGGAAAGCAGCAACACGAAGCAACTCTGTGACTTCTGTTGACCCTCTCACCATTAGCATTGAAGCTAGGTCTGATGTCAAGTTTGAAGGAGCAGTACTTCAATCCATATTTGACTGAGGTGGGTCTTGCACTAATGTACTTCCCATTTGAATCATCCATAAGAGACTATTTGCCAGTTATTCATAGTGGGATTCACACAGATGTATGGTCTAAGGAGAAAGAACAGCTACTTATTCTTCAGTTGCAAAAGCTCTTCGTAATGTAGTCAGCATGGATCCCATGACCCTACCTCCATCCCCACTGCTTGGAGTCCACAGAAAAATGGGCTTTGAATTGCAAAGGAACTGTGGTAAAAATTGGGGCCTCTCCAATCTTTTGCCCTTTCAGGGTACACATGCCTCTGTGCCAGATACCATTAGTGAAAAACTTCCATCTTGTACACAGGACCTGCATGTGCACCTCTAGTGGGAATCAGACTGACTACATCATCTGAAAGAACCAGGGGTAAGAAACCATTCTTTACTTGTGTTCACTGTGAGTGACCTGCAGCAATCACACAAATCCTACACTTCTCCTTCTGGAAAATGTTACATTTACATAATTCTTTTTCACATCCATTTGTAGAATATACCTCAGGTAGGGGTCAGGTCATAATTGACCCAAAGGAAACATCTGCTGGCTAAATATGTGCTTGCACGGAAACAGGAGATAGACATTTTTACTGAAAATGTGAACAGCTCTGAAGGACAGTGTTTTTCTTGTCTGCAGAAGCGTGGCTTCATCTCAACACTTTCAGGCTTATAACTCAGTTCTCTCAATTATCTTAAATTAACAGCAGGACGGTGATCCTCCCTCACACAGTGGCTGAATCATCTAGATCACTTCATTATGCACAAGTACCAGCTTCCTGGGAACCAACATGTGGATCATATTTAAATCATCTCTCTTCCCTTGCAAACAGTTTTTCCTCATAAGAAAAGCAACATTGCAGCTTATTTATTAATTTGTATAGCAACATCCAACCTGATCCAAGGAACAAAAGTGCCAGGGGTTTTTAATATACCAATATTAGAGTTGCCATCTGTTAAATGTAGAAATGGTATAAAACAATGTGTGTAGACTAAAATCTATTGCTTGTTGCTATTTGCCTACCAAGTTTTCTTATTGACTTAGGTGTGAAATCCATAGGTTCAGCATAATATTTATATACAAACACTAACGAGAGTTATACCATATTTACTCAATTTTAAGGTGAGGTATTTTTTTCCTATTTAACATGGGGATAAAGCCCCTTATCTTAGAATTGTGTACAAGGGCAGTTGTGCATTACAGACTTAGGCTCTCACCCCTAGTGAGGGTTAGGGCTATCACCACAGCTGCTGCCTACCCTGCTTCCCTGACCCACCCCCCACCGCCTCTGCACCCTGCCATATTCCCCCTGCAGCCTCTTCCCTCCACCCTGTCCCACACAGCCTCAGTTTCCCTGCCTGACCCTCTCCCTTCCCCCCTTATCCTTGCTCTGCACTGGCAGGCTGTCTCCCCATTTTAGCCTGGGGCACTGAGCATAGCCCCACCCCAGCCTCATAGCAGTGGCGTACAGCTCACATGGGCTTAGGGCTACACTCAGTGCCCCAGGCTAGAACAGTTATGGAGCCTGCCAATGTGGAAGGAGAAGGAAGTAGAGTTGGGGTGGAAAGGGGAACCAGAGAGGGTGGGGAAAAGTAGGAGCGGGGAACAGAGAGGCTGGGGTGGAGGAGCAGGAGAAGAAACAGAGGTGGGAAGAACGTGGGGCTGGGGCTACAAGGGGGGGTAGACAGGGGGCAGGCACAAGCAGGGGGCAAGCTGCTTGACCTTTCCAACTGCCCCCCCGTCTGCTCCCCCCCGCGCAGCAGCAGTGGGGGGGTGAATTAAAAATGACCCTCCAATAATTAAATTTTATACATGAAAAATTATAACAAATCTGCCATACTCTCAGTCTGTCTCTAAAAGATGCTGATGTATACTGTTTCTAAGAAAAGTACACAGACATGCATGCACACACACACACACACGCATGCTCACACAGACATTCCAGCATGAAGTTTAACTTTTTACTGTAAACAGGTCATGGCAGCAGAATGTAGGAAACAACTGGTGCCCTGATCACCTGGGGCATCTATTGTTATAGGCATCCTCCTACTCTAACTGCATAGAACAGATAATGCTAAGGGATTTTTCAGTTACTCCTTAATATTATCGTCATCTTGCGCTTATTTTGAACAGCTGCTTTAGCAATCTCTGAGTTGCTAGGCAGCCAAAGTCCACTTCCTGAAGCCATCCCTCCTTCTGATGAACTTGCTTGGCCTGTGTTATAAGCTTTGCTTACCTAAATGCACATCTGTTGTAGGATATCTTTAGTATTCTCTACATCACATGCTCTATATGGGCTATATATTGATCTGCATTTCTATTTAAAATAGTCATTACAAAAGATGGAACAGACTAAATTCTCCCCACCCTATGGTCTCACTCTCACGGAGAGTTGTTGTTCTTTCTTTCTTTGTGGTTTCCCTCAAACTGGATTTAAAATAATCAACACTAGGACTCGGGATACATGTTTTACTGTTTGCCTTTAGAAAGCATACCCTGTGCAGTTTATGCTGTGAAAAGTCTTTTAAAAAACAAACAGTTGAAGGAACAGTTCTGGAGAGAAATGTGTCTGGTAAAACTTCTCCCCTTTTGCTTTTCTCTGTAGCTCAAAACACTGGAATCTCAACTTTATACAGGAATTCCTATGGTGCACCTGCTGAAGATATCAAACACAACCAGGTATGTGAGTGCAGTAAAACACAAGTTTCCATGCAGAATATTACAAAGCACTTGTTATTTTGCCAGTCAGAACAAACACAATATGTTCATATAACAGAGAGGTATGGAAAAGCAAGGGCTAAATTCTTGTACAAGTGGTAGCAATTTGTTTGATTTCGTAAAGGTTGTGGTCTTCTGCATTAGCAAAGAATTTTTGGATCCATGAATCCAAAATGTATAATAAGTTGTGACAAGCATAGGATGCAAACACATGCTGATTATAGACATGTGATGTAACCTACAAAATGCAAATGTCTCAGGCTCGCAGTTGATGACTCACTCCAGCAGCTCAGTCAGTAGAAGGAACCTAAGTCAGAGGTGGCCAACTTATGCCACGCATGCCACCGGTGGCACAAGCAGCCTCTGTTTTTGGGACAGTGCAGAGTGGGGAAGGGATAGGGTCTTGGTAGCAGATAGGATAGGAAGCAGAAAGCAGAGCAGCAGATCAGGCAAGCACAGGGCAGGAAGCAGAATGCAGAGCAGGTAGAAGAAGGGGATCAGAGTGGCACTTGGGGAGGGTGTGGGTCTAATTCGTGACACTCCTGCCAAAAAAGTTTGCTATTGTGATCCTGGCAGTGTCCACTAGGGCTGTGTGAAATTTCACTGGCTGGTTCATCTCAACACTGTTTCAACTCATTTCGTGCTTGAAACAGCGAAATCGAAATGAAACGAAGGGCTTCAAAACAGCCTCAAAACGAAATGAGGGCAGTTGAAATGTTTTGACAGTTTCGAAACATTTTGAGTTTCGAAGCAGCCCAACTGAGTTCCCCTCCTCAGTGCTGCAATGCGCTGAGTTCCCCAGGTGGGCTGAGTTCCCTTCCCCAGTCCAACTGAAATATTAAAACAGCGTCGAAATAGCAAAACTGTTTCGACAAAACGGAATGGAACAGCATTTTTAAAACAAAACAAAACTTGAAACGAAACACTGTTCTGCTGAAATGGATGTCGAAGCGGAACGCTGCTGTTTCACACAGCCCTAGTGTCCATCCAGTTCCAAGGGTCAAGTGTACACATCCAAAAGAGCACCATCACAGATACTGGTTTCCTTATTTTGGAAACTTTATCAGGAGTGTGAATCCCAAGTTCTGTCCTTTTTTAGAGACAGAGTGAGTCTCTAAAACATTGCTGAGTACAAGTGACTTTTTTTTTTTAGGAACATTACTGAGTCCAGGTGGCTACAAGCCACATTGCTTGGATCCTCCAAGACATTGCCAAACCATCTGGTTCAAACCCTGAATTGTGACGTTTTTCTCCACTTCCTGTTTAACTGTCTCATTAAGAAAACCAGCTCTTCTATTAGCAGTAGTAACACACAGGAATATAAAACAATTATTTGGAAAAGTAAAGAAAGGTGTGGATTTCATTCAGAAGGACTATGAAAGGGTTTGTGCAATGGCTTTGGTGCTGAACATATTCTTATTTGTAGCCTGATGAGCTAAAACAAGCTTGTTATACTTGCTCCCCTTCCATAAATCTCTTGTCCAGTGCTAGCCAGATCTAACATACCAGGTGTATTGTTATCTGTATAGGTCTCAACACAGCCAGTTCCACAGGAGCCCAATAGAAAAGATTATGAACCATATCAGCCGTTTCAGAATTCGACAAGAAACTATGATGAGTCCTTCTTTGAGGACCAAGTGCATCATCGCCCCCCTGCAAGTGAATATAACATGCACCTGGGACTAAAGTCAACCGGCAACTACGTCGACTTCTATTCAGCTGCTCGTCCCTACAGTGAACTTAACTATGAAACAAGCCACTATCCAGCCTCTCCAGATTCCTGGGTTTGAGGCTTGGGCAAGATACAGAAGCTCCAGGAACTGTGCATGTGCATGCATACCACAAGACATTTTTTTCCTGCAAATTTAGTTTGTTAAAGCCTGTTCCATAGGAAGGCCCTGATAACCAGTATGGAAAATTTAAGAGATTTTAGAAGGCTAAAAGAAATGCAAGTTAAATATGGAAGTAATTAGAAAGAAATATATATATACAAATATATATTACAGTGTGGGACAACTTTACTGTTGGCCTATAGAGTCTAAAATAACAGTGCTGTGTACTGAATGTGGCTGAAGGAAGGAGGGAGAATATGACAGTGGATGTGGGTCAAGAGTTAAGCACAAGAAACTGAGCAGCTTATGTACTTTATGGGGAACAGCTTCTCACACTTTGTTTAATATCCTCGTTCATTGTGAATCTAGGCTTCAAGTTGCATTTGGGGTTTCCTCTGTACAGCAAGATGTTTCTTGCCTTTTGTTAATGCATTGTTGTAAAGTATTTGATGTACATTACAGATAAAAAAACAAGTGCATTGTGTATATTACACCAATGCCACAGTGTTTCTTCATCTATGGTTCTAAATATTGCTTCAATTTCAAAATTTTGGAAGATGTATGAATTTCCAGGGTTTTTCTTGTTTTCTTTTCCCCAGTGCGTTTTAACAAAAAAGGAATATTTAGCAGTATTGTTCGTTCTGATATGTGAATTTGTTTGTGGCAACTAAAAAAAAGGCATTCAGCAGTTTCTGACAATTAACATTCATCATTCCACACTCCTTGTCAACAAAGTGCTTTTTCACTGCCTAAAATTTTAGATGTAGATATTTGAAATAGATTTTTTTATTTATACCAGTTTTCTTTATGATGATACAGTGTTAAAAGAAAATAAATTACAATTGATCTGTCATCCATATTTGCTAAGAATGTCTATTTCCAAGAATTGAACATACAAAATACACATTCTTGCTTGTGTGCATGTACGTCTGTGTGTGCATAATATTCTGTGAGTGTATGTGTGTATGTGTGTGGTGTACAAGTTATTTTCATCTGCTGTTCTCCTTGTTCAAGCTTTATTTTATTTTTTATTTGGTATTTTTTACAGTGGAAACTCCAACATGTAATTTCCCCTCAACCACAGTATTCACCATTGACAGTGATTCCAAACATTAGGCCAGTTCCAAGTAGGAGGTTTCCAAATTTTCATCCATTTCTTCATTCCTGGGGTCATTCCCTTTAAGGGTCCCTTCCTCTCTACAGCCACCTAGAAGAGCAAGAGCTCAAGGCAGATGTGGTGCTTTCTCTCCATCTTCCTGAAGGAAGGGAGAGTGTCAAGTCATAAAGACCCACATGGTTAATTCTTACATCTGGCTGAGGGCCCAGCACTGAGACATTAGGACATTTTTATCATAGCAAAACAAAACCATTCCTCTGATAGAAAACCATTGATCATTTCTTTACAATTTAGAGCGTGGATAAAAATGCTATTAATAAAAGATAGTGAACGCATTTAAAAATGTGTAGCAAAAGGAAGGATCTCCGTGTCCCTCCAGAGTTTAGAATAAAAATTTGATTCTACATTATAAAATATTCACATCATCCAGCTAACAATGTTATAATGTATGGTCTTCACACAATTAGAACCACCACAAGTGGAATATTTGTTAATTACTTAATTTGTTTTAGGATACAAATATTTCTGTGATTATTCACTGTAAGAGTCTCAGCGTTGTTTGAATTATATCCCAGAGGTGGAAAAATCTTTCTCAAATCATTACCTGTACCACAGGCTAGAAATCGTACAGGTTATTGGTGGAAGTATTGTGATGTAGACTTGGTTTATCAGTAACCTAGTGCAGTAGCCGAAACTCTTTGGCAGTGTACAGTGTCTCCTCTTTGTAAACAGGGAAAATTGCATGCAGAAAAAAATTAAATATAAAAGGGAGGGGCACTGTGGGCCAGATGTATATTGAGTTAAATGCAAATATTATTCATAGTTTTGGACACAGGCTGTTTATATTTTCTTTATTAAATTGATTTGAATAAGTAACATTTGCAGTGCTCTTTTGAACAAAGCACATTTTCAGTATTAAAGAACTGTTTTTTATTTGAAAAGAACATACCATAACCCAGAACTTGAAGTGCATCCTGATTAACTATAATCACCAGCCTTCTTCTATCACCTGAAGCAAGTTCCTAAATAGGCCTAAGGCACCCTAGCTACAGCACAAAAGGCAGAAAATTGTTGCAAAATGGGTTTATTTCAATTCTTCAGGCTGTTAAAATGCCCATGTTGCCCCGTCTCAGTTTTCTTAATGAAGCAATGCTCAAATAAGTAATAGATACTGAATTAAAGCCACACAGTGTCACAAGACTCTTTTTGTCCATGGTTTGTTATATTTTGTTTCCATACTTTGGCAGTGGCAAGTACTCAAACTAGTGACATTTGTTCTTGCTGTATTGGGTCTTGGGAAAGTGTTTCTTTCCAGCCCTGGCAATCCAGTGCCAGCTCCCATTACAAATCCAGTATGGAGGATGCATTTTTTTAATATGGGGGGAGGGGGTTAAAAATATTACACCCCACTGCTGTTCCCTTCAGACATGTAATAGACCACAAAAAAAGCAAAAGAGGCAATGTTCCAAAAATGAATAAAATGCATTTGTTGTACTGTCAAATGTTGGACTTTTTTTTAAAACAAGCTTCATATTAGAATCTTGATCAGTGGTGTAGAGCTATCTAAATATCATTGTTTTGTTAAACTGTTCTTTATGGGCTGGAAGGAATGGTTAACCCGTCTCAAGACTAATAAATTTGTACTAACTTGACCAATATTATTTTTTTTCAAAAAAGCAATTAAATCAAATGTGTATTCAATACTTTAAAAAACAATCTAAATTACTATATTAACACTGAATGTACATTTTTATTTTAAAAAACATATTTCAGCAAAAAAAATTAATGGTAGCATAACATTGCATAAAAGAACTATAAAATTATAGATAGCCAAAAACTGTGTTTTGCTGTACGTGTTGGTAGCATGTACAGAGATTAATTTATATTAACCTTTTTATTATTAAAGTCTACTGTAATGTGGAGTACTGCTGTTCATGATGCAATGTCCTTAAACTTGAAAGCAAAAGTTATGACTCACTACTGAGTTGCTTCTTTGTCAGGGACACCGTGTTAAATATTCCCTGCACATGACCTACTTTGTTATTCATTACATAGCTATGCACTTTCACTTCTACAGGTAAAACAATTGACAGGAAAAAATGGAGTATTTTGAGGTTGGGTGGGGGGGGCGGGGTTGGTCCCAACATGACCCTATATTGCTTCTGACCTAAACCTTTTGTATAGAACAAAACAAACTGAACATGGGAAAGCCTTGATATAAGAGCTCTAAGCCATAGAGTATTCAAATATTTATAACATATTCTGGCCAATGACTAATAAGCTCCTTAGATCAATTTATAATAATCTTTAGAAGATACCTTGGCATTCACTCTCTTAAGCTAAGTAACAGAAAAGGCAAAGTCTTTCATAAATATAAGGTGGCACTGTGAGAAACTACAGAATACACATTCTATCACCTTTTGAAGACAACTACACTTGTAGCCAGGTGCTGCTTCTGCTCAATCCCTCTACCATTATTATTTTATCCCTCTTATTGGGTTACTGGGAGGAAAAATTCCCTAATTACTGATTTACTACAAAGAGAGCAGCACAGAAAAGGAAAAGTAAGGCCCCTACTAACTTTTGTTAGGCCATGAGAAGAGTGGGGCATCTTATAATTATCAGGGATGGAAACTTCCCACTGGGACTATATTGTATAGTTCAGGCATCAAGTATTGCTAGCAGGCCACTTTACTTAATATTGAACAGGAGGACTATGATGGAACAAACCACCAGACTGAAGT